AAAAACGTGAGTAGTCACTTTGAATGGACCAGGCAGTACAGTTTTGGACAGCCTCAATACTCTCTGTTAGTGAAGGAAAGTGAGGGTCTAAAATGAAAGATGCATACTCTAATTTCCATCGTACTAAGGAAATGTAAAGGAGTAGCTTTAGGTTACTTGTGACAGGTCTGAAAATGCGACGGAGGTAACCTAGGCTTCGGTTAGCAGTAGACACCACTGAATTAATATGGCTGTCCTAAGAGAGGTTTTTAGTTAGAAGAACACCAATATACTTGTATGTGTCAGTTTGTTGTAGAGGAACAGCATTAAGAGTAAGAGGAGAGGAAGTTTGGAAGGTAGAACGAGAGAAGCGCATGTGTTTACATTTGTTAACATTGAGGGGCATTTGCGAACACCATTTATTAATAGAGTCAAGGTCATCTTGTAGCGCTGCAGAATCAGAGAGAGAGGCTATTTTACGATAAACGACACAGTCATCTGCAAATAAACACATTGATGAAGACACCTGAAGTGGAAGGCCGTTATGTAAATAAGGAAGAGTAGGGGACCAAGGAATGTTCCTTGGGGTACACCGGATGTTACAGGGGCTAAGGCAGATGAAGAGTCGTTAGCATAAAAAAACTGGTTTCCTTGCGAGAGGAAAGATTTCATCCATTCGAGTACCTTGGTGTCAAGGTTTAACGATCAAAGTTTTAGTAGCAGTTGGTTATGCGGTAGTTAGTCAAAAGCTTTAGCAAAGTCAAGAAATACAGCATCGGTTGGAGAACAGGAGTCGAGGTTAGAAAAAAGGTCATGGGTCAAGCAAAAAGCTGTGTTTCACAAGAAAAGTTTCTACGGAAGCAGGGCTGTACCTTGTTCAAAAAGGAAATGGAATTAAGGTGAATGAATAGATTCTTATGGATTATGTGCTCCAGTATTACAAGCCTCCGCTTTTAAAGTGAAGTGTGTTTCCTTTGCATTATACTCCGAAACATTTTGATACTCGTAAAAATGTCCTTCGCATTGGAATAAATACGGATTTACTTTTTTAAGACGCTTCCTTTATACCTAGAGTAGCTCTCCCATTCGGGTCAGCGGCACTCAAGCTCCTGTTGTCACCTGTCCATTGGAACAAAAACCGCAATGTGTTAATGCGAAACCATTAACTCTTTCATGGAGCGAAGTCGGCGTTTTCTGTGGCAGCGAAACGGCACCTTAATTCCCATTAGCTCCGACGCGTCATTTGGCTCTAAAGAAACGGGTCATCATTGCTAAGGAGCCAGCTGAACTGCTCGCGGCGCTCTTGGAGGGGGGAACGCGGATATGCTTTGGCTTGATTTTAGGCCTAACGTTAGGCCTATCGTAAAGACTGTTATACTCCGACGTCGAGCGTAGCACACGCGGCGTAGTGGAGCGCACACAGATGCTGACTGGTCGCAGATATCGAGTCACTGCTCGCCGGCCAGTGAAAAGCGCGCGTTCTGCGCTACGATGCGATCGCTGCGCTCAAAGTTGGAGTATAACAGAGCCTTTACGCTTTGAGTTATTAGAGAGTTTTAGTAGACCGTTTTCGGTTTCCCGCTCCGCTCTATGGAAAGCGGAGTCGCCATCGCGTATGCGCGACCCGCTCTGGGATTTGAGCGTGTAGCGTCAGCTCCGCTATCGTCGCCATTTTACGAAGTACGTTCCACTCTCACTAAAGGTTCAGTAGATGGTGCTTTTCTTGAAAGGTGGGTGCTCGCTATTTGAAATCATGCTTGGGAGCGCGCTTGACCGTTATGAACCTCGCTGCACTAAGAAGCTGCGCAGAAGTTGTTTGAAAAGGCGTCCCCCAGAAAACGTTTCACGGTGGTCAAGAACTTCTGGCTGCCTCGAGAAATTGCTGGCCGCAATTCTTTCACGGCCCCTGAACGGTGGAAAAAGGTGCTGCCTTGTCTAGGCCAGCGGGCTCAATTTCTCTATGCGAGATGACGACGACGACGTTGAGAGGATGACACACCGGGCGACGGCAGTGTCTCAATCTGAGCCCTGGGCCTCGGTTCCTCGGAGGCGGCAGCCTCTACTTCGGCTGGACTACCTCCTTGGAGCATGATTCTTTGACCCCAGTGGACCCCAGTGAGCAATAGCGCCATTATGTTCCTGGTGCTCCTTCATGCACTGATCGAACGGCGTGCAAGATCCTCATAGCTCGCTGCTCACCCGCCCAACCCGCCTCCACGAAGTCAGGGGGGCTATGTTGCGCTTTTTGCACTCCCAGGAGACTAGGGAGAGGGAAGTGACGCCAACGACACAGCAAACGCAGATTGGGTGTTGATTTCGTTTTCTTCTGTCAACATCCAATCTGCATTTGCTGTGTCGTTGACGTCACTTCCCTCTTCCAAGTCTCCTGGGAGTGCAAAAAACGCAACATAGCACCCCTGGACTTCTGCGGTCGGACTGCCGCCCTCCCCAATACCAACAACCCATGTCGTCGTCATCTTGCACGTATATACTTATCACATTACCATGTTCCCTAGACGCGGCACCGCGGGCCCCGGTGGTACGGGCTGCTGTTTTCCGCGGTGCCGCCGCTCTCCAGAACCAAAAATTAAAGGTTAAAGACCAAAGACTAAAGCAGTCGGCAAACGGACAGATATTTTGTTTGGTTACTTCAGGCAGCAAGACAGTGAAAATTAGCGAAAGCGAGTGCTCCAATTATATCTCTTTTTTTTTTCCCAATGAAATGAGTCTTTTCTTCTTCGTACGCTTCGGTTTGGGATATGGTGCCTTGGTGTTTATGTACACTGCGCGACACTGTTAGCGGGAGCATTCGATATACTGTTTTAATTTTTCACCTTAAATTCGAGGGGCTGACATTTGCCTATTGGTGTGGAATAAAGCGCTCGTTTGGGGCACTAATCTGAGCGACAAATTTTCAGCTTTTTCGATAGCTGTCAAAGAAATAAACTGCAAATAAAAGCGATTTTTTTCGTGTTCGTATTAACAGGGGAGCGCAGTGTATGTATCTGCCTTGGGGGATGACATGAAACCATTTTGCTTGACTATACACATCTTTTTATTTCTTTTGTGTGTTTATGAAAGTGCGTTTTTCAGCTTAAGCTCCTGCCTAGTTTCTGCCTCACTTGTGCTACGGTCTTTTCTTGCAATAGAAGGCCAGGCGACATAGGCTACTCTTACAATGCTGAATTCAACAGTAACACTGTAATTTGGTTAGATGCAATATTCACACGCACATCTGAGAAGTAAAATGGGAGTCGTTAGTAAACGTTTTTTATTAAAATATTTCTAGATGCCTTTCAGCCCAGTTGGACAGGTATTTCGCTCAGTACAAAAGCTTGAATATGATTTACTGTGATAATTTTATGCATTCTAATATTAAACAAACAAAAAAATGCCCATGGTCTTTGTAGGTTTCGTCCAGCCGTCAAATTATGCCGTCTGCGCACATCACTGCCTGGTGCTTCACGACGAGCACCCTCTTGTGGTCTTCTTCTGATTTTTTTGATGGACGGCATATGGGCATGCTGTGCGGTCAACAAAACCCCAACAGTTGTTCAGGGGTGTTCCCTTGTCCTTGACGGCCTAATAAAAAAGACAAAGAAAAACACCCTTACAACACGGCAGTATTTAAACACTACCAAAGCATGTGATATGGGACCTGTTACTACTCTAAGATTAAGCGTATTTCCATTGTAGGGCTGTAAAAAACTGGGTATCGTAAATTAATATATATATATATATATAGTTGTTCCTTCATTCTGCTAAGGTTTGAGGCCGTCAAACTGTGCATGCGAGGCCCGCTACGCCGGAATTCAAAACGAAACTTCTGAGAACTGTTCTATTCTACCATTATTGCTTAGAAGTCCAGGGTTCTGTTTGCCAAATTTTGCATTGTTTATGCCTGTCTGGTTTTCACCAGACAAAAAATTGACGTGGAATATTCTTTCGACTGTTATTGGTAACTCTTTTCAAAACACCACCGGGTAACATATTCGGCCGCCATATTTTGGGCATCACTTTTAGTGCGAGACTTGTGACTAGAACCAATTTCATATTCAGTATTGACGTAGCATTCGTGTCTAATACATTTAGACTCGCATCCGCGACAAACAATGACGTAGCTCTCTTGCTCCCTAGACACTTGGCCAAAATAAGGCGGCCTCGAAGACTAGCGGCACCATGGGTTGCACTTTTAAAAAGGCTGCATTCAAGTTTCTATTATTTTCTAAATCTACCAAGGAAATTCAATGCAAGCATTTCTTGAGGAAAGTTAAGCAATTCAAAAGTTGCGAGCGAGTGTCAATAAATAAAGCTGAGAGGGAATGGTTTCTTTGGTGCAGCTTGCGAGCGCTATGCTCGTGGTCAGCTTTCAGTGGCATTTTCGACAGGAGGGCGCATGCACAGATATAATCGGCGTTCAAGCACGCGCACCCGTACATCTGACTGCATAGCCATAGGACGTCCACAAAACGCGACGACTTTACCGACGCCGTGCTGGTTGCAAAGTAATACTCGTTCACTTCGTTTGATTATGCTGTTTTGTGTCACATAGAACTCAAATCGAATGGTTTACTTTTTACGCGCGGGGCGTACGCTTTACTTCTTGATTCGACCTCTTTCAAGCTGAGGTCACGGTCAAAAACATCGACGCGTATTGAGTAAGTGCAGCCATCTTGAGATCTAAGCGATCACGTTAAGGACGTTGAGGGCAGTCCGCTCTACAACTTGTGAAGCGGAGCGCACGCTAACTCCGCTAACTATACGCTCCAACTCAGAGCGGGCCACGCATGCGCGGTGGGGACGATGCTTCTCGCAGAGCGTAAAGTAGAGCAAAGAGGGCTCATAAAAGTGGCCTACTGTTGTGTATTTAATCTTTACATAATATATACATTACAGCATACAGCGGGTACAACCGACCGGGTTGGGGCCAGAGCAGTCGAACGTCTCGTGAATGTGCGCGTGCACCAGTTCACCGGCATCCCTGGATATCCTCGGTTGCCAACACACAACATCCCTCCCCCCTAGGTCACATAGTCCTTTAGGTAGTCGGGACGTCGCCGTTGTCGTTGGGGACGATTTGACTGTTCTTGCGCAGGCGCTGAAGTTGGCAACACTGTTTGGTGCCTCGGTTCATGGGGTGAAGCAGGTGAACGTTGTGGGGAAGCTGGAGGTGTTGCCACTGGGGTTGACTCCTCAGGGAAGTCCGCTTGACTCGTAGATGGTGGGCACTCTTCCACCGATTCATTCCTAAGCGATGGCTCGCTTGGTAAGGAGAGCTGCTGAGGTGACAGCTCTGTCGTAGGCTCCTCCTCGTCCAGGTATGTGCTCCACTCCCGTCTCCGGATTTGGTCCACGTGCCGCCTCCAGAAACGACCGTCGATGGTGCGAACCTTGTAAGACACCGGACCGGTGATCTCAGTGATGATACCGGATAGCCACTTGGGGCCTGCTAAATAATTGCGGATGAAGACTGGTTCTCGCGGCTCGAATTCGCGTACACCTTGTCTTCCCCGCAGCGCTTGTTCCTCTTGCTTGTCCACCATCTCTGCTTGTAGGTCTGGGTGAAGCCGGTCCAGTGCAGTACGGAGTCTCCGACCCATCAACAATTCCGCCGGACTCTTTCCGGTCGTTGAGTGCGGGAGAATATGCTGACTCAAAAGAAATCGGGCCAACTTGGTGGCCATGTCGCCTCCTTCCATGCGCCTGAGGACTTGTTTAGTTTCTTGGACCATGCGCTCCACTTGGCCATTTGACGATGGATGATATGGCGCCACCTTAACGTGCCGGATCTGGTTTCTCTGCAAAAATTCTTCAAATTCTTGTGAGACGAACGCGGTCCCATTGTCCGAGACTATAGTGTCGGGAACACCGTGTGTTGCGAACAGCACTCGCAGCCTTTGACACACTGCTGCTGACGACATGGATGCTATCTGGATGACTTCCAGCCATTTCGAATGCGCATCCACCACCAGAACAAAAACCTTTCCTTGGAAGGGTCCTGCAAAATCGATGTGGATTCGGGACCATGGGTTTCTGGCAAATTCCCACGGATGCAGTCTTGCACGTGCAGGTTGCGGCCTTGTCTCCTGGCAGGGCAGGCAGGTTCGGACCTTCCTTTCAATATCTTGGTCGATACCCGGCCACCAAACTGTGCTTCTGGCAAGCGCCTTCATGCGGACGATCCCGGGATGCGTGGTATGCAGCAGCTCCAAAACCTGGTCTCTCGCTTGCTCTGGAATGATGACTCTACATCCCCACAGCAGCATCCCCGATACTCCGACAACTCGTGCTGCCGTCGAACAAATGGCTTGAACTCGTCCGGCAGCCTGCCTTGAGGCCATCCAACCCCCGTCCAATGTCGAACTCTGGACAAGGTTGGGTCGTTCCGGGTGCATCGGGCAATCTTCTGGGCATCCCACGGAATCTCCGGCGCAGTCTCCAGCATCCGGACTTCAAAAAGTTTCTCGTCAGTTGAGCTGTCTTCCACAGTTAGAGGCAGTCGACTCAGTGCATCCGCGTTCCTGAGCTGATGAGCAGGCCTGTACTCCAGCTCGTAGTCGTAAGCCGACAACATTAACGACCATCGCAACATCCTCAGCGACAACACTTGAGGCATCGGTTTTGCGTGATGCAAGAGTCCCAGTAGAGGTTTGTGATCGGTCACGATCCGAAAATGCCGACCGTAGATGAACTTGTGGAACTTTCGTATTCCAAAACCTATCGCCAGAGCTTCCCGGTCTGTTTGTGCGTAGTTCCTTTCGGCAGCTGTCATAGTTCGAGAGCCATAGGCTACCGGTACCTGCCGGCCTTCGCTATCAACGTGGCTGAGTACCACCCCAAGTCCGTACGGAGAGGCATCACATGCCATGACTAGTGGCTGGTGGACACTGTAATGGGCAAGGACGTCCGAAGACTGCAGTAGCTGCTTGGCCCGCAGAAAAGCCTCTGCTTCCTGCGTAGTCCATCTCCACTTATGGCCGTTGTCGAGCAGCCTGTACAAGGGCTCCAAAGTGTGTGCCGCTCCCCGTAGGAACCTGTTGTAGAAGTTGAGTGCCCCTAGGAACGCTTGCAACTTCTTCTTGCATTTTGGCTCGGGTGCCCCATGGATAGCCTTGACCTTGTCGTCTGTCGGCTGTATTCCTGCCTTGCTGACCTTGTATCCTAGGAATACAACTTCATCCACTCCAAAAACGCACTTGTCCCTTTTTAGCCGGACACCGTCGTCTTGAATTCTTTGAAGCACAGCTTGCAGACGGGTCTTGTGCTCGGCTTCATCTTTACCGCCTACCAGGATGTCATCGAGAAAAACTTGCACCCCTTCCAGCCCTTGCAGCAGCTCTTCCATGTACCTCTGAAAAATAGCGACTGCAACAGCTACTCCGAACTGTAGGCGCGTGACACGGAAAAGTCCACGGTGTGTGGTGATGGTGAGAAGGTCAGCTGTCTCACTGTCAACTGTCAGCTGCAGGTACGCTTGGTCTAAATCAAGCTTGGAAAACCTTGCACAGCCTGCCAGCTTCGCGAAAAGTTCCTCAGGTGTGGGTAGGGGGTAGCTTTCCCAACGGACCACAGGGTTTACCGTACTCTTGTAGTCGCCACAGATTCGCACTGTGCCATCCTTTTTTACCACAGGTACTTTTGGAGTCGCCCAACTGGAATGTCGGACCGGTTCCAAAATGCCTTGCCTGATGAGCTTGTCCAAGGCTTCATCCACTTTTGGTAGTAAGGCAAAGGGAACTGGACGCGGTTTGAAAAACTTGGGCTGGGCTGTCGGTTCCACTTCGACTCGAACTGGTGGTCCCTTGCTCTTGCCTAGACCTGGTTGGAAAACGTCGGCGTGACGACTCAGCACTGCTGCGCTGGACGGGCTCTGATTGTTCGTTGCTTCTTCCAGCTGATTGACTCTCAGCTCAATCCCAAGCGCCTTGAACCAGTCTCGGCCAAGCAAGCCTACGCCTGCTCCCTTGATCACGACGAGACGCAGTCGTTTTTGACGCCCTTTATAGGTGACTTGGACCATCACGGAGCCTAGCACCTTCAATTCCTGCTGGTTGTACGTGCGAAGACGTAGTTCACACGGTCGCAGCTTGTGCTTGGACAACCGCAGCTGACGCATAGTTCTTTCGTTGATCACGGAGCACACCGCTCCTGAGTCGACTTCCATCTCGAGAGGGTTCCCGTTCACTTCTACGACCACGCGGATAGCAGGTTCCTCGGCAGTCAATTGGAAGATGCCGAAAACATCCGCGTGGGTTCGATCCCATCCTCGTCGCCAATGTTGTGTATTTAATCTTTACATAATATATACATTACAGCATACAGCGGGCACAACCGACCGGGTTGGGGCCAGAGCAGTCGAACGTCTCGTGAATGTGCGCGTGCACCAGTTCACCGGCATCCCTGGATATCCTCGGTTGCCAACACACAACACCTACTAATACTCATAGATTACGAACGCGCTCGTCGTGACTTGTCCTGACACTGCCCATGTACACCTTTGGCGTATAGAAAAAAATAACTTTTCACCAGACAGAGCAGCTGTGCTAGAAACAATGGAAACGCGAAATTTACACAAACCATGCAGGGTCTCACCTGTGAGCACAGCTCTAGTTTCGCCAGGGTCAACCACCTATGTTTGTTCTTGTCAGCGAGCAGGTGGCCGAACCTCTCGTTGATGTGACCCACGATGAGGTTCACAGAACTGAAGTACACCGGCAAGTTCCGTCCAAACGCTCATCCAAGTACGAACAGACGGTTGGGATATGCCATTCGAGGAAGAACCATGCAAAGCGTCTCGCCAGATTGGCAACACCCTGCGCCGATCTGTCGGGTGCTGGTATTTGGAGGCCCGCATGCAGAGCAGCCAGCTCCTTCTTTAAGCAGGATAGCTTCCTAAAGCGTTTCTTTTCTACGTTGGAAATATCCAGCAAACCGCGTTCGGAAAGGAAGCTTCGGCGCTTGATGGCACGAGGGATACGAATCATAGATTCGATGTCTCGCCAGCTTAATCTCGTTAGTAGAAGTCTCCTTCCTTGAGAACAGCGGGGATTCATCGTGCAGATGCCTTGCTAGCCTTGAGCAACACTGTACTCATACTACGAGAAAGGATGTACTCGCAATGAGCAAACTTCGTCCTTTTCTATTATTTTTCTACTTCGAAAAAGTAAACCTGTGTTTAGTTTTAATTCGAGTGGAGCAGAAGCTACAAGAGCGAGTGCCGGCCTTTCAGCGCCCTTGATAAGCACGCGCGCTCGTGCAGTGCAAGTACCGTTTAGAGCAACATGCTCATGCTTATACCTTCGGCTTCACTCGCACACAAGGTGGAACGATTATATTTATATTTTATAGCTTAATATTTCTTCAGGTGTGTGCCTACTCTTTTGTGTTCATTATTGTCCCCTTCGTTTTTACTACCTCTACAAACAAGCTCCCTTTCACACTCTTGGTCTTCACGTTTAGGTTTTTTTGTCTTACTAGTACTATAAACGCCCACTTGTGGGGCTACGCAAATTTTTCGAACCCGCTCAAAACGCTCTGACGCTGAAGAAAAAAATTACACCATCTTCCCGAGGGGAACCATGGGGTGATGCGGAGCATCGTTCCATCACACTTCATCGGAAGAACGGAGTGAAGTGGAGTCAACAGCGGTGAACTGAACGCGCGCAGAAATTGGTTTGCTCTTTATGTTTATACTGCCTTGATGGAGATGCGCCTCAACGGGTAATCGGTCTCTTAACTGTAGATGAGAAATTTAGCCAGAGCAGTACAACCGCTAACCTGGGGTTTTTAACGTGCATCACGCAGTAGTGATCACACGAACGCGTGCCGGTACGAAACTCATCCAGATCGAAACGGGCGGGGGCGGCGGGGATCGAACCCAGGAGGTCCCCAGCGCAAGCTTTCGCTCCACGCTCCGAGCTGAGACGCGTTAGCCCACTCGGCCACTTCCTCTTTCTTTTTTTTTTTGTTTTTCTTTATTGCCTGCTTAGACAGATTTTTTTTTTTACAATACACACAAAAAGGAAAGGCTAAAACACTTCAGACGTACGAAGACCGTGGCGGTTAAAAGCGTTTAAAACTGGCCAACTGATCCAACAGTGGTAACCAGTCTGGAGGCTCGCCGAGGGCGCGATAAAGTTCTCTTACATAGACAATGTTTTCAATAAAGTTTTCACGCACAGTGCGAACATTCACGTCTGCGTGTCGTAAACTCATTCTCGTCTTCCACATACTGTAGAGACTCAATAACATAATCATATCATACGGAATTTCATCTTCATTTTTTACAGCCAGATAACGAATACCGCGTGGGTTGACAGGTAAATCTTTTTTGAGGGTGCGCTGGAGGATGTCCCAGTGGAACACAGCGTCCCAACATTCGATAAACACGTGTTCTACGGTTTCGGCTTTTTTACACAATAAACAATTGGTGGACCAGGGGACGAATAAACCTTTTTCCTCCAGCCAAGTTTTCACCGGAAGAACGCCACAATGTAATTGAAAGAAAAAGGTTTTAACACATGGCCTGACCGGCATTCTTTTCACTTTTTTAGTACGTCTAAACCACTGCCGACACAGTATAATGATCTATACAATGGTATCGCAAACAAAACATCGATTAAATCTTTATACAATTTTTTTCTTGAAACTGTATCAAATATTCCATAGAAAAACGGACTTTCAACATGCGGAAAGATCATAAAACTTCTTTCATATACCCACGAACACCTGCGCCTATTCCAACACCGGATGACACAACAAATTCAGGCAGAAAACTTTGCAGGCGAACTTGAATTACAGTACGTAAGAAGGGGTCGTTTTGATCCCTAAGAAACATAAATATCGAAACAATTTGCCTTATAAATAAATGTGCTAGACCCAGTTTGCCACTTCGCACTGAACGAAAAAGATTTGTGCGGGCACAGCGCTCTTAATTTGAGTTCCATATGAAAACAGCAAGAACTCTGTGGAACTTCTGCACATTGGCCCGAGACATATAGAGTACCTGTAAGACATACCAAATCTTCGCAATCAAAAAAACATTACACACAGTGGAACGTGCGAAAATAGACAAATCCTTCCCCCTCCACCCTTCCGCCTTTGTTCTAACGTTCTGAATCTCTTCATTCCAGTATGAAGTACTGTCACGATAATGCACTAACGGCACACCTAGATACTTGGTGGGTAAACTCTCCCACCTAACATTCATAAAAACATTTGGTTTTCTATCCCAATCACCGTGCCAAAACCCTACCGT